GCGTCTCATTGTTCACGAATTCGGGTTCGCGCACGTATAGTCCGAGCCCGGCCGTGTTAAATTTCATCACCGCATCCGAGAGCGCGCGAGAGAAAGAGAGCGAGCTCTAAAGAGAGAAAGACGAAGCAGGCGGCGTCACATGAATAAAGCGTAGGGGATGAAAAATAAAGCGAAGGGGGCGAGTGACCCACATGACTGTCGCGCATACGTGTAAACGCGGAGCGTCGGCACTCACGCGAAAGGGAACGACTTATTCACTGAAAGCCTCGCCCAACGGCAGTCCCCCCCCCCCCCCCGTGTGCACGCTGTCGGAGAAATACTTTTTTACACCCCTCTCTCTCTCTCTTTCCGCGCGCGCTCGTCTACTTCTTCCATTCCGTGCGCCTCGGTATCGTCGTCGCGCAATTCGGCTCGTGCTAAGAAAAGGGCGAGAAAATAGGTTCCCGCTCCCTCTCCTCCTCCTTCCCTCTCCCCCGGAGTGCCATTCAGTACCGTAATTTATTCCAGTTTCATGGATCCCTTTTTGCAACCCCTCCCCCCCTCGCTGCCCTACCCCTCGTCGACGTCTCTCACTTCTGCCGTTCTTTATCAGGAAACCTGCCCTACACCCGCTAATCCGAGTTTCCTCTCTTTCTCGGTCTCTCTTTCCGCCACCCGGTTCCTCCCCCTTTTTCTTCTCGCCCTTTTCCTCTGTGTCGCGCGCGCGAGCGCACGTTCTCTAATTTATCTTGTCAAGCTTCCATTTTATCCATTACGGATTTCTTTCAAGTTGCGAGTACTTGTTGCACAGAGGCACACGATTGATATTATGAATTCCGCGTTATGCTCGACGACGCTCTGAAAAGTATTCTCTCTGAAAGCGTTCTCTCTTCCGCGGGAAAGTAGCATGAAGGATCCTCGAGCGAAAAAACCATTCTCGTAAAGCACGTCACCGCGAAGGATCAACAAGAGGGAGATGATATGAAGAGGAAGATATCTGACGATCTCTCTCCTCTCTCTCTCTCTTTTCTCTCTCTCCTGGTCGCGCTTAGCCGCGCGCAAGCGTGTAATACCTATACCCGATATTCTGGCATCAGACGCGGTGTGTGTCGCTATACAAGCGCACACAATAACTCTCTCTCCCTCTCTCTTGGCTGCGCAATATCGAACGGCTCTGCGTGCCACCCGGGGAGAATAATATTGAAATCACGAGGTTGCACGTTGTCGTAGCCAACGTCGTCGTCGCCGACGTCGGGGTCGTCGTCGTCGTAGTCGTCGTCGTCGTCATCGTCGTCGTCGTCGTCGTCGTCGTCGCCGCCGCAAGTAGGCCAGTCGCTCGAAATAGAAACCGTCAACTGGGGCAGTCAATGGCCAACGTAAGACACATTTGTCGTGGCACGTTCCCGCGACTTTCCCACTCCTCCTCCCTTGTCGCGCGACGACGTTGTGCACATCCTCCTCTCGTCTCTTTCCGTTTTCCTACCCTTTATCGGTGAGGGAGGCGACGACCGTCGTCTGCCAAACGCGACGATCTACGGTTCCCAAAACGATTTTCCCGGGACGCATCGGCGGGAGCATTCCTCGGTGACGGCGGGATTTATATGGAACCGGACTCTCGATTCGATCAGTCGCCATTCTACACCGGCATTTTACGTGCTCCGTAAAACCGCGCTCGACGATCGTCGTTTTTTTTCGATTTTTTTTTTTTTTTTTTTGTTTTTGTTTTTGCGAATTGACACGCCGATCGACGAAACGCAAATCTAATCGATTTTACACGTTGCGTCTCGTATAAATTTCTCGGTAACGATTGGTATAACCACGCACATTACTAAGTTCTTTGTTTTTATGACTTTGCTGAGTGGTTAATTTTCAATTGTTCCGAATGATCAAACAATCAATTTTATCAAGCTATAAAAATAAAGAGCAATAATACGAAATACAATTCCGCGCGCGCGCGCGATTGAAGAATTAATGAAATTTAACGGCGCCGTCCTTTCGCATTAAATACCGTAGTCAGGGCGCACGTACATACGAGGAACAACGACTTTATCTCGCCGGATCTTCCACGCGTCGTTGTAGGGGTTAAATGTCTTGAAGCAAATGCATTAATACGGGCGATAACGCAGCGGATTTTAATGCAGGCGTTTACACGGGCCGTTTTAGCTCCGCGGCTCTCTCGCTCGAATATACGTGCTTACCGGCAGTTTTAGCATCCGGCTTAACAGGACGTAATTTTCCGCAATGGCGGCGTAATGAGGCGTATATAAAACGACACTAACCCCTCGCGCGCGCGCTCATCATATCGTTCGTACATTTTCTTTATGACGAGGCGACATTGCTGAAACCATACTGTTAAAAATAACGATAATGCTCGGCTCTTTGCATCCTAAAATTAGAGCTCGAATAAAATGTTGCAAAAATGCGCTCGACTAAAAAATCCACCGACGTTTTAACGATGTTGAGTCATTAAATGTAAAATTTGACAAATATATACATATATATTTGTTATATAAAAAATGTAAGTCAAGTTTCTCTCTCTCTCTCTCTCTCTCTCTCTCTCTCGTACTTAATGACTCAATATTCAAATTCCGCTTCGTTGAGATTGTTAATGTTGCTGATGCTGAATTTTATTTTAATTGCACGGTAAGATTTTTGCAATATCTCTCTAAGTAGAATTATGCGCACGCTTCTTTATCTGCATGTGTATCAATATTTCTCTATCTTGAAACATATACAAATACACAAATACGTCTCACACATATTTCACCCTTTGAAGTGCCGATGATCGTTAACACACGTGTATACTTCTCCTCGCACGTTCACTCTCTGAACTTCTCCGAGTGAAATCTCACTTCAAACGAGTGGGTATTCACTTCAAGCGATAGTGAAAATACTGGCACTCGTAATGAGCGAGAATACACTTTTCGCAAAAGTGACTGTATATGTGTAAAGTATCATTTGTTTCGAGAAAATAAATAATTATTAAATGTAAATAATGACGTTATGTGTTTGTTACTTTGTAATAAAACTAAATAAATCATTTTAAATATCAAAAAATATTTATTCTTGTAATTTATATTTTTGAATAAGTTTCTTTGTGTTATTCCAAATTATTTCTGATACTAATTTTTGTGGAAAAGAAAAAATCGCGAGAAATCAACCTTGACCGGAGTAGAAGCCTCCGCTTTTGCTAGACCTGTGTTTTATTGATTTATTTACTGAGAGTTTTATCGATAATCCTTAAAAAATCATTAAGGAAAACCGGGGCACAAAGTGACATTCAAAATAAATTATTTAAAAAACAAACAAAATGTACGCAATATTGTGTAATATTGAATACACGATATAATAATAGTCACGTCCTTTAGCTTTAAGGAAAAACAATATTAATCTTGTATATCTTTGAAACAAAAAAATTATGTAGTGCTAAACACGATAAATAATTCTATTTTCACGTTTTATTACAATTAGTGAAGTTTATGTATTATTACACACATCAAGTATAACTAAAATAAAATAAATTAATAATCGTTTACTTATAAAAAAAACAGCTTTTATAAGTGACTCTTATATAAAACGCTTATATCAAATTGGAAAAGAATTCACTCCGTATGAGTTAAAACAGTCACTCGAATGGTTCGACAGTCGTTCCATTGTTCGAGAGCATTTTCACCCCAAGAAATTTAGAGAGTAAATAACCAAATTGAATATAATTCATTACACGTTGAGTATTACGACACGCTTCTAAAATACTTAAAAACATTCTAAACAAAAAAAAAATAACAACTTTTGCAAAGTCTTCATTTAATGTCATTCACTCTTTCTCCGAAGTGAAAAGCACAAATTGCACCCGCTCCTATCTATCTCTTATCGCACATCGAGTGCGCTCACTTTGCAAAGCTACAAACTAATTGCACACTTCTAATTGCACTCTCTCTTCGCTAGATGATTGTATTTCGGAAGCACCACGTGTTATTATTATTATTGTTAGCATATATCGCGATCTGATTTTCGCGACGAATTTTCAAAAAATCGCGTCTCTCGCGAAAAGGTTGGACCTCGACACTTCAAACTGTCATTATTTCCGCACTTTCCGCTTCAGTGCCGCGGGCACTCTATTGCACGAATATTTTCGGCAGGACTGCGCACGTATGGCAACATTTGTATGGCGTATAACGCTTCGCAACATCTAACGACGTCGTCCACACGTAAATAAAAAAAAAATAAAAAAATAAAAAAAAAAAACACCTATCTATCTTTCAATCGTACAACACCGAGTGTATGTACGTGGAGACGTCGTGATCGCGCGTCTTGTTCTCGTCACACACGCTTTGCTTCATCTCTCGCGCGAAAAAACACGGAGACGACCCACGGAGACGTGCGCGAGTGTGCAAACGGCCCGTGGGTCGTCGTCGTTTCACTTCGTCAGACACGCTGCATCCCTTGTCTCATCATTTATCATCTCATGATTCACGGCCGGTGCGAGTGAGTAACGAGGTTTGATCGCGCGCGCGCGCGCGCGCGTGCAGGTGGAAAGACGCGTTGAATAATGAAGCGAGTCACGACCCCCGGACCTACCTCCGTTAAAGCGGGGATTAAAACTTAATTTTGATCGTCTTGCAAAAGTGATGAAATTGTTGGAAAAAGCTTTCTAGCGATCCCCTAAAGGGGAGTTGAAACATTTATATACCGCGCCAATCCATTTCTCCTCAGACAGATGTTCCGTGCGCGCGCGGCAGATGGATAAAAAAAAAACCAAAAAAAAAAAACAAAAAACAAAAAATTCGAAATACTCAAAACGAAGAACGCGAATGATTAATCCCACAGAATTTTCAACAGACGTGATGAAGCTGAAACGTTTCGCGTTTTCATTCTTGCCGTAAAAAAAAAAAAAAAAAAACATTCGACAACGTTCTCCGGATAAGATTCAAACAAAAAAAAAAAAGAAAAAACAACTCGCACCGGCTCGTACATGTTCATTACGATCCCTCGTTTATGTTGAGTGTTGGTGTTGGTGCAAGGGGCAGGAGACGCCGATATACATATGGTACGAGTCGTATCCGACCCACAGTGGCGAGGGCTACGAGGGCCGCGTTTCGAGGGTGAGCGAGAACTCGCCTTACGGCCAGGCCAGCCTCAATCTGACGAACATCCGCGAGAGCGATCAGGGATGGTACAAGTGCAAGGTCGTCTTCCTCAACAGGTCGCCCAACAATCACAAGAACGGTACCTGGTTTCATCTAGACGTCCACGGTGAGTAAAAATTCCAGAATTTCGCGTGTTTCCTTCTCTCCTCACCTCCCTCCCTCCCTTCTCTTCCTCCACGTCAAAAGCAAATTTACAATAGCTTTAAGATTCAGAATTTTGCCCCCAGCCGAGCCGATTCACAGTCTTCTCTCTTCCGTCGTTACACACGTCGCGGTTTGCGCTGCAAACGAAAACTCCTCGTTTTTCGGGGGAAACGTAAAAAAATCGAAAAAAGAGAACGATTACATTGTTAGAAAAATGTTTACAATCGCGCAAGAGGAGGTTATTTCCGCGCCAGTAGGGTAGGGTAATAATAAAAGTTACGCGCTTAAACGTATTCGAAGCTTTTATCCAGTTTACACGAAGAGAAGACGAAGTTGCTGGTTTATTTCTCGTGCTCCGCCGAGTACATACTACCCGTTAATATCACTTTGAACTTAAGGAGATTTTACGACTCCGGGCTAATGTGGGTTTATAACACATGCAGCGAGTTAACTCGGGCGTAAGTTAACGCCGTGTTCTGAAAATTTGCAAATTTCGCACGGATAAGTTGGAAATGTGCGTTGGAATGTAATTTTGCAATAAAAAAAACTTGCGGGCGTGCGTGCCGCTCATTTTTTTTTTTTTTTTATTATTAAAACTGAAGACACATTTTTCTCTTTTTCTTTATGCGCTTCGCTTAATTGAGTGAAATTACTTTTTGCGTGTTCTTTCTCGTCACGCTTTTTAAATTTCTTTTGACCTTTCCGTGAACGAAAAAAAAAAAAAAAAAAAAAAAACAAACAAACTTTTATCTCGTACGTATTATAGAGAAGAAAGAAACGTGTTCGCGTATATTTCCGGAAATTTATGACATTTCCTGCTTTCCTGCTTGGTTGAACTATCGGCAAGCACGAAAATTTCTGTCGTCGCGTTCCTTTCTATTCCGGTCTTCGAAACGCCGCCGCCGCCGCCGCCGGTTCGAAGCCTCCGAGCGCCGACGTGACTTCCTGTCTAGGAAGAAAAGGGGGAGAAAAGCACGCGAATCATAAAAGGCGCTTCGAAAAGACGCCGCTGATTTCTCAACGACTCCGAGAGTCGCGACTCCGAGCGAATGGTACATTCAGCAAACATCATGCGCGACACACAACGTTCACCGACGTCGTCGATGTGTGATCCCGTCGCGTTCTTCAGCGTTTCCGAAGTCCGGACGAGAAAAGAAGTTACGTTTCTTGCTTGCTCAGCACAACTCACGACTCCGAACGTCTTCACCGTCGAGTCTCACCTTCGCTCGATCCGGCGAGAGAAAAATCTCCCGCGTCCTCCTTGCGCTTACCACGGCGAGGGGTAAAATGGAAGGGAGGATCGCAAAAAGATCGTGTTACCAGACGAGGAAATGGGCGGACGGAGAAAGAGGAGAAGAAAAAGGGCAGAAGAGAACGTGGACGGGAAGAAGAGAGAGAGAGTTAGAGAGAGGGTGGGAAAACTTATTGCCACGTTTTGCTCGGCTATAAACGACAACGCGGAACCGGAGGGAAGAGAAACATTCAGATGGCTTATAGGGTGGATGTTGTCCTCTTTTTTTTTCCTCTCGTCGCACCTCCTCCTACGTCCGTTTCTTCTCCTCGACAAGCCGCACAGCTTATTCCCAATTTCTGCGCCGATTTTCTCTCCCTCAGTCGTTTGCTTTAACGGTAACAAGAGCAACAACAACAACAACGACGACGACGACGACGACGAAGAAAGTGACTGCGACGATAGACTCGACGTCAAAGGGAAAAATACCAGAAAGCGTTTAAGGTTCCCTTTATACTTTGTACTCGCGGCTCCATTCGGTCGCTTACCTTCGCGTTAGAGTCACAAGAAGCGTCGCGTCCCTTCGCCCTCTTCCTCTTTTGTTCTCTTCTTCTTCTTCGTTTTTCTTTTTTCTCTTCTTCTTTCACTTCCGCATCTCTCGTGAAAGAAGCATCGCTTTCGAAATTAAAATTACTCATCTTCGAACAACAAACGAACGTGACGCGAACGGTGCGTCGCGCGGCGGGACAATTTTATATATATATATATATTTATATCTCTCGGTCAGGAAAACGGAACAAGAATTGTCCCGAATAATGACAATTTGCAAAAGAAATTCGCAGCGCAAAGCTCCCGCGGAAATATTTAATTGAGCTCTTGAGAGAGTTTCTACCACAATAAGCGAACTTCTCGCGCGCGCGCGCGCGCGTAAGTAATTCCGTTTCTCTTGCGCGGAAGAAACGCGCGGTTCGATGGGGAGAACGTTCGTTCGTCGAAAAGCCGTTTTCTTAACTACTACGTGGAATTTGCATTATTTCAATCGTTCGTTTTTTCCTCGATTTTTTCTCTTTTTTTTTTTTTTTCTTTCTTTACCCTCCATCGTTTCTTCTGTCACTCCGCGCGGAAATGTCGACCCGTGCCATCCTGGAACAAGAGAGCGGTCGACTCTTTACGTCACCGTCCGGTCACCGAGCGATGGGCGGCGAGGAGCCCCATTGTGATTTCTACGAGATAGAAAAGGGACGGACGCGGCAAAAACACACGGTGGGACTTCTCGGAGGAACGTTCTCTCTAAACGCCGTCTCTTCGCGGGCTTGATTGTTCTTCTAACGTCATTTTACCGGTGCGCGCGACCATTCTCTGTCCGTTGAAGTGCGCGCCATTTCCGCCTTCGCTCTGACGAAAAAATACACGGTTTACATTTCTCTCTTTCTCTCTCTTTCTCTCTCTCTCTCTCTCTGAAATCCCCGGGAACAGCGTTAGTCGGTATTATACTACTGGTTGTGCCACATTGTTTCTGTATAACAAATGTCAAACTTCAAGTGTAAAATTACATCTAAAAGAAGTAGCTTTAATAAAAATTAAAAACAGAGATTTATTATTCAACGTAAAATTTTAATAATTAAACGATGGACAACAGTCTACGTTGCGTCATATGGAATATTCATTCTTCGTGGATGGATCTCAAAAATGACGACTAGTTGGATTGGGTCTGTGAGATCCACGCGACTTTAAAATCGAATATCTTCACGGCAAATATTTTTTCAAAAAAGTTATTGTTCGCGCGCATAAGATTCGCCGACCCGGTGGTCTCGCGGATGGTCTCGCTTGAGTGTAGAGGCTGCGAGCAGGGAGGTCCCGAGTTCTCGAATCCACAGTTTAGGATTTTTCCGGGTCGATTTCTTCCAGTCAAGTTTTTTGTCGATTGAAAAGCGAGAACTTAAATCGAGGCCTTCGATAATTATAAACAACTTAGCTTCATAGTAAGAGCTAAAGTAGGACATTCGTCCTTGGGAGGAGAAATTCGTCCCTAAAAGAGGGGGGAATCGTTCTGAGGTTTGGAAAAATCTTATTCGACGATGAGGTGAGACACCTCGTTACTTTCGAAAGATTACGGAAAGTGTAAAAGAAAAGGACAATTGTGATATTATCAAGAGACACTATCCATATGTCTTTAACTACTTTGTTGCAATGAGAAAATAAGTATTATTTAAATTCCCTGTAACTAAATCCGAGTTTTCACTGCATGAGAATTTTCTGTATTCTGTATACGATACATTCCACGAGACTCTTCTAAGTATTTTTTTATTTTTTTTTATCCCGATTCGCTTGCCCATTGTGTTTGCAGCACCACCCAGATTCAGCGTTACGCCGGAAGAAATGATATACGTGAATCTAGGCGATGCGATAATACTCAACTGCCAGGCTGAGGGTACTCCGACGCCCGAGATCCTTTGGTACAAGGACGCGAATCCCGTCGAGCCCAACGGACGAGACGTCGGGATATTCAACGACGGCACCGAGCTCCGGCTCTCGACGATCAAGACCGAGGACATCGGCGATTACACGTGCATCGCCAGGAACGGCGAGGGCCAGATCAGCCACACCGCGCGTGTCATTATCGCGGGTGAGTGCTTTGCGGGTGAGTCGGGGGTTCCCATTAGAATGTCAGGAGAGAGAGAGAGAGAGAGAGAGAGAGGAGGGGAGAGAAATCCGCCGTTGTCGAAACCGCAATTTCGTCGCGAAGTTGAGCAATAAATTACCTCGCTTCGACCGGGATAACAGCGGAAAGGCACGATTACGGTTCGACGACGAGCCGCGAGATTCGTCGTATCGAGCGCGTGCGAGATAAAACTTTTTTAATTTAAATTTTACTGTCACTCACAGAAATATTTTGCGCGCGCACAGAGGCAAAAATGCTCACTCGTTCTTTCTCTGTGTGTGTGTGTGTGTGTGTGTACGCGCGCGCAGATGGATATCGAGGGATTAAAAAAATTATCTCGCGACGCGCGAGCCGCTGTGTAAACTCGTGACGATGTAAAACAATATAAATGTGACAATTGTGTTTACGAAATATAAAATCTTACAACAAACGATTACGATAAATGACGCGCGATAAGCAAATGACAGACATAAAGTGTCGAAACGTATCGATGTAGTGACGCGTTAGAATTTAATTCAATATTATTTGCATTATTCAACATATTTATATACGTTATTTCATCCCGCTCTTTGGTTCAAATTAAATCTGAAACAATTTTATATCATTTAACATCAACAATTTTATATTATTTTTTTTTATTTCTGACAAAGAGAAAACAATTCTCTTGGGCGCGGCGCGAATATACTTATTTCGAAGAAAAACCAACTTAGAGAAAAGAAACCAGTTTCTTTTTTCCTCTTACAGTTTCAAGCGCGCGTGATTTGATTAACGCGGGTCACGAGTGCCGCGGTGTTCTGCGGTTTTGCCGCGGCAAATAACAGTTCTCTTTTCCGTTGTCGGGCCTCCCTTTCCCACACTCCTCTCCTCCTCTTCCTCGGTTTATTATCTCGCGAAAATGCTAGCGTGCGCGCGCTGTGTTAAGTATTACCGTCCGACGGGGAAACGCGTTTAAACCCGGGCGGCTGCGACGCGCGCGCGGCCGCTTAATCCACTCCGGTGCCGGACGCGTGACACGCGGCGGTTGCGACAAAAACCGGAGAGAGACTCGGCTTTCGTTTCAGAGTTTCGTGTTAAACGAGCGGACGATACTACGTCACGCGCCGCATGACAATTTGAATGAATTTTAAACGTCCCGAGGGGGGAGGGGGATGGTGGTAGGTTCTCTCCTCGTTTATCTCTGTGTTGAAGTTGACGGTGAACGTCTGTCGCGACTGATCCCTTTACACGCGTACAATCGCTTAATCAATCACATCTGCCCGTCAAACAAAATTGTGAAATTTTGCGCGCGATATAACGCGGTTCGAAAGAAAACAACATAGAGAGATACGTTTGTATAAATATTAATAACTACTGCTCGCGCCCTTTTGTCCCGCGGGCGATCAAATGGCCGTTTTATACGTAGTCGAGTTGGATATGTAATTAAAATATAATTAAAGAATATTTTATGAAAGTTTTTCCCTTTAGCCGGGGCGGAAGAGAAAAGAGAGCAGAAGAACTCTCTCTCTCTCTCTCCCCGGAGAGAGCGCGCTTCGATATAACGCGAGTAAACTAATTAAAGAAGGAGATACTTTGTGCCGAAGCTAATAAGAAGACAAGCTCTTCTTACCCCCTCGTTTTGAACTCTCCGTCTCTCCTCTCTTTCTCTTTTTCGACGAGCATAAACAATAAAGTCGATTGATTAGTTTCCACGACAAACGGCCATCTCTCTCCCGCGCTTTTTCGGAAACTAATTTAATATATGAATCGCGCGTCGCTGTATATAAGCGCGCTTTAATACACTTCCGAAAATTATCCCCGACGTGCCGCGATTAATTATCCGCGATCCGGCGTCGCCCCCGAAGAGAATAACGCAAAATACGAACGGGCTGGCAGGCCGATAATTAATAAACAGCAAACTGCCGTGGTAATTATCGAACGCTCCGTTATCAGAAACAGATATCTCTGGGTGATCAGCAATCAAACACCGGTAATGCAATTCCAATAAACCTGCATGTCAGAAAATATCTTAAAGCGGGTTGCGGCGCGGTCTGACCTCCGTCGAGGTTTTGTTGTTTTATCGATCCGCGAGCTAACCGTTTTCTCTCTCCCTCTCTCTCTCTCTCTCTCTCTCTCTCTCTCTCTCGCGCGCTTTTTCTTTTTCTCTTTCCTCCTCTCTGACTTTGCGATCGGAAACGAATTCTCTCATGGCCAGGTAACTCCAGTTACGCCGCCGCCTTTGCGCGATACATCCGATAAATTTGGCCTCGCTTCAAACGGAATAACAAACGCTCCTTTTACGAGTGTGACTTCGCAAAAGTTCTCGTCTCGGCGGAACTGCGCCCCGAGATCTGAAATATCAATTGCCTATATTGCAAATTTTATAGCTCTCTCTCTCTCTCTCTCTCTCTGGTGTTTCTAATTCTGGACGCATCGTCGGTCGTAAAATTATCATTCGCGTCCGGTGCGGTTTCGATGATGCAGACGCTCTCTATAAATAATCGCGTCTTACACCTTGAGTCGCGCGACTCTCGTTTTAACAAATGTCAAGTGCTCGCGATCTTCACGTTTAACGAGTTGCCACGTGTGATGGAATAATTAAAAGGTTTACGCGCGCGCGTACGCGTCTTATTATCTCCAATTTAATTAACTCGACGAGTCTCGACGATCGTCCTCGCGTTCTTAATGCTCGTTAGGGAAGTGGGTTTTCGTCGCGCGGCGCGTGATATAATTTAGTCGAAAAGAATGCGCGGATACCTCCCGCGTGCGGCTTGAAATTCGAAGCGTTCTCTTGCAAATCGATTCGCTCTCTCTCTCTCTCTCTCTCTCTCTGGTTTTCCTACGCGAAAAAGGAAAGATCTGTTAGAATAGCAGGAAATTACTGTTGAGGTTTTTGTTGCGCCGACGAAACGTTTGTCGATTAAACAAAAAATAGATTCGACAATTTTTTTCTTGCCATGTGATGTGAGCAAATTGGCTGGTATAGTGTCAGAAGGAAATTATACAGATCGATTACAGTTAATCGAACACCAACCGAAACTCTCTCGAATCATCTCTCTCTGTCGTCGCCCACGCCATTTTTCCATGACACTCGACCCCCATTTCCAATTGCACGTACATCGTGCTATAAAAGGGGTGTATTACGGAGGTTACGGTCGTAGCCGGAAGCTTTAATCGGTTTTTTTTTTTTTTTTTTTTTTTTTTTTTTGTGTCTCTCGTTGTGACGCTCTCCCACTTTACGGAGTCGCTCTACATAAAAATCGAAATGGGGCAATTCGAGAAGACTGTGCTTTTAATGGACAAAAGGAGTGTATTAACGGGAGTTGCGGTTGAAGCTCTAATTAATTTTTTTTTGTTTGCGTGTGTTTCGTTGCGTCTTTTTCTTTTTTTTTACAGTCGACGTATAATTAGAAATGGGGCAGCTCGAGTGTCACGGAAAACCGACGACGACGACGACGACGGCGATGCGTCGAGAGGGTTTCGGTGGTGTCCGAACGGACCTGTAATCGATCTGTATAATTTGTATTATCTTTCCGACACTACATAGAACCGCGCCGCACGCGAGAATGGGGCCAATCGATTTTCGAAGAAATCGCCCCCCCTCCCCCCCGAACTTTCAACCACCACTAACACACTCCCCCGTGAGACAGATATCTCTCCCGTATCTCTCTCTAACAGAGCTAAAAGAGTACGGATTCACAGCGTGTCCATATTTCACGAGGAAATCTAAATCCGAATACAATAAAGCGCTTCCCCATCTTTCCCGATAATTTTTATTTCCGCCGCGGATATGACGTGTATCGTACACACCACCGGCGATGTCTCGCGCGAGCAGGTGCGCGCGCTATATTCTATACGTCGTCGCCTCGCAAACTCAGGAAAAGATAAGGGAAGTCGCAATCTCGTATAACCGTTTTAGCGTCCATTTCCCTCGAACGTTTTCCTACCCTTCCCCCGCCCGGTGATCGGAAGGATGCGCGCGACATATACCGGGCGCAACTATAAAGCGAGTGCACAGAGAGAGCAGGACGAAGAGAAGACGCGCACACACACACAGCGCCGTATCTCACTCCTCCGTATATTTTACGAGCCGATACATTTTACTCATACGTACATCGATACCGATACCTCTTTTCTCTCTCCCCCCGCCCCCTGTCCTCCCCCTCCCCCCGCCACATTACGATAAAACTCGCGTTAGACAAAGTGGTTACGGCGAGCTTCCGGACGTCGCCTTGTTTTGCCTCGACCAATTAAGGCTATTCTCGTAACCGGGAGGGGTAAAAGGAAGTTAAAAGGCGATTTGTCTTGTTTTTCCAGAGCCAACAGAGCTACTTTCCGTCCTCACAAGCCAGTCTTCTTGTTTCATTTCGCTTTCGCGCCTTCCGTCTCTTTATCTCTCTCTCTCTCTCTCTCACTCTCTTCTCTTCTCTTCGTCGTTTACCTCTTTTTCTTGGGACATCGTCGCTCGTTTCCACCCCACAACCACTGCAAATTTGTAAGCCGCAAGCCACCGCCGAGACATCCATCTTCATCATCGTATTGTCTTACGGTCTCTCTCTCTCTCTCTCTTTCTCTCTCGTTTTCTCTCTCTCTCTTATCTCTCTCTCTCTCTCTCTCTCTCTCTCTATCTCTTTCTCTCTCGTTATCACGCTCGTTTATCGGTCTAGCTGAGCGAGATGATTATTTAATGGATTGAGAAACGTGAGCGCGTCGCGCCCGAAATGACGTCGGAGCTCGTAAAATTCGCTTCCACGCGAGAAACAAGATGAGGTGAACCGAGTTCGAAGACGAATATTTTAGAAAAAAATATTCGCTGGTCGGGCGCAATATGGCCGCCATCTTGAAAAAAAAAAAAAAAAAAAACAACGAAACCTTCCGCGCAAGAACAAAGACGAAATTTGCGCGTGAATAATGACGCGTTTATTTTCGGCGTCCCGGGAAAGTGGCAAGATACACGTGTATTCCGCGCGTGTACACAGCGCGTTAAACTAAGTAGAGTGCTCAAAGAGAGTGAAAAAAAAAAAAAAGACCAGCGGGATGTGGGCGAAAACATTACAAGGATAAATCATTCCGGAATTTATTCCGCATCTCGACTGCGGCATCTCCATTTGCTCTCGACTACTCTTTGCGCTCGTCGCTTGGCGACACCACGTATTTACAACGTGCGACGTGATACAGCGACGTCATATACGAGCTTTATATAATACTAAGAGTCCGCCGCTCTCTCTCTCTCTCTCTCTCTCTTTCTTTCTCTCTTGCTCTCTCTATTTTTGAATTTCATTGCCCCGGTTTGTCAAGATTTTCGTTTCTGGTTGGCAAACGTCAGTATTTGTCGCCGTGACGCTTTCTCTTCTCATCGAGAATGCGATCGCGCGTTGCTTCCGATGATGCCGTGCGACGCGGAAGTCATCCGATTCGAGTTCGCACACGAACGATTGAACGAAGGCGTTTCTCGTGAAACAAAAAAGGGCGCGGGCGATAAAACGCGTTTCGAGAGCGACGGTTTTCCAGAAGAACCTCCGTGTAAATATCGAGCGCCGCGCCGGGTCGTCGGTGGAAATTGTCGCTCCGCAACTCGGTAAAAACAACGTCGTTAACGATCGCGCGTAATGTGCGCCGCGCGTGCAGCTTTACGGCGACCGCACGCCATAATGATGCTATAGGCGACTCGGAATTTCATTGGCCTCGTTTGCCCGCGAACTTTGCAAACTTTCCCGCCGCCTGAGCGCAAAGTATCCTCCCGAGCTCTCTTTCTCTCTCTCTCGCGCGCGCGCGCGCTCGTGACGTAACATACTTTACCGCGCGAGAGCGCGGATAATTAAAATATATATTTCACCGCGCATCGTGCGCGCATATTCGCGCGAGAAAAAAAATGAAAACCAAGCATTGTGCTTGCTTTTGAAATAAATAATTAAAAAAAAAAAAAACAAAGAAATACAAAATAGTATGTCTACAAAACAAAACAAAACGTGGAAACGGAGAGATTGACACAACAACAGATATACAGTCCGATCGGACGCTCCTCCCCGTAAAACCCGCGCGCGTGCTCCGATTTAAATGCGAGGGCGGAAGATTGCGAGAGGAAATATACTCGCGGAGTGTGTTTTTTTTTTCTCTCACCGGGCAACAAGTTCTCATTCCGCGCTTCGTGCGTTTATCAAGATCGTAGATTCAAATTTATTCCTGTCGCAACGTCGCGTCGCTGCTGGCTGGCTGGCTGACTGGCTTGAGAGTACGCGCGCGCATTGTGTGGCGCATCTTCGGTAGGTGCGACCGGCTGCAATATATTGAGACATCGGGCAGAGCTTAGAATATCGTTGCCCTCGTTTTCTCGGGATTTCCGCGTGCGCGCGCGATATTTCTTGCGAGAGCTTCTTTGGAGAAGGAGAAGGAGACGGAGAAGGAACGTCCTCTTTTTTCTTGGCCGGCACGTTCTCGGCGTTTGCTTTCCCGCGGCGTGATGTCATATTCGATGTTCTCCGGCCGCGCGTCGTCCTTATCGAAAAGCTACCCCGGCTAACCTCGAATTCGATTACATATTCGATATATATACCATCGAACAAACTGCCGCAACAATCTGCCAAATGTTTAATTGCTCAAACATTCGTCGATATATATTTGCAGCATCATAGGCGCGGCCGATTGTGTACGTTGCGACGCGAGCGTTCGTTTGCGTTTATAAATCGACACGTTGTTTGCGCGACACCTACACCCTGTTTACTTTGCCAACTAGCAATCTCGAATTTCAAGAGAGAGAGAGAGAGAGAGAGAGAGAGACCGTATGGATTTTGAATATCACGTATCTGATATATTAAAATACAAAAGCGGAGATAGCGGACGAGCCACGCTGTGGAATTCCACCGGTGAATTATAAACAAATGTTTTTCTCCGTCGACTGCAAAAAAAAAAAAAAAAAAAAAGAAAAACATCAATACACCCGCGCGATCTTACGCATCTGCGCGCGGATTTTTTTTGCATATCTTTTTTGAATTTATCATCGACGCGCCATATATTCGCAGTCTCTACCAAATCAATATATCTTTCTTCGCGAAGAACATCTCGGTGTCGTTAATTTCTCGACGCGAATTTTCCACGTACATACGCGACGTACTCGCTCCGCGATCTAGCGTCGCAACGCGACGGAGAAAGGGAAGAGCTGTGTGCTCCGCCGCATAATCCCGACGAATGACGACGATAGATCGGATTGCGGGAAATGCGCGACGGAATCGCGCGAAGGAGGTTCGAATTCTTTTGTGCGCGCGGCGAGGATCGATCTTCCGCGCGCGGCGAAGAAAATATTCGCGAATATCTTCTTCGCCGTCTCCGTCAAGCAAAGCTCGAACTTTTTGAAATTTTTCTCCGAGACATGGGCGTGGACGTTGGATATCGATGAAGATGTAATGCACCCTGTTGAGCGCCCGTGTGCCACACTTAAAGAAAAGTCGCGAGAAGCAAATTCGAGGCACTCGCGCGGTTCGCCTATCCGTCATAGCTTTTTACCGACGAGCGTGAAAGAGAGAGAGAGAGAGAGAAATATATAAAGAGAGAGAAATAGAGAGAGAGAGAGAGAGAAAGACGTTATCGAGAATCAATGGAGACGACGGCTATATAGCGTATTCGATTCCGTGTTTCCGCGCGACAGCAGGGTAGTATTGCTGCGCCGCAAGCTGTCGTCTGCTCTGAAATATCTTTGACAGCGAGACAAGCAATATCAGCGGTCAATTGCCACCGCAGTTTTTTTTTGACACTATATCTCGCTATGTGTGTCGAGATTGTTTTGCGTGTGCGATAACTCTATTATACAATTGACGTGTCCTGATTCTTTTTTTTTTTTTTTAATGATAAAACTACGCAAATAAAAATTGCACGGTATTTATATTGACTTGCAGGTGGTGCCGTAATTACGTTACCGCCGACGAACCAAACGAAACTGGAAGGCGAGAGAGTGGAATTTACCTGCGAGGCAAAGGCTCTTCCGGGTAACGTGACGGTGCGTTGGTTTCGCGAAGGCGCTCCCGTTACGGAAGTCTCGGCTATGGAGACCCGAGTGACCATCAAGAGGGACAACTCGTTGGTTATTCAACCCGCCAGCGCCGACGACTCCGGACAGTATCTGTGCGAAGTCAGCAACGGCATCGGCGATCCGCAAACTGCCAGCGCCTATCTGAACGTCGAGTGTAAGATTGATTTAAAACAAAATTAAAAACTATAGAAAGTCTCGAAGAAGCACGTGTTCGAAATTTTCAAAACTCGAAGGAAGCTAAGCTGTTAGATACGTATCGAGCGCGCTACACTTTGAGAATAAAATTAAAAACTCAATTAAAAGAAGCGAGCGCTAATCATCTTTCGCGCGTGATCTCGCGTGTTTCAGATCCGGCGAAAGTCACGTTCACCCCGACTGTCCAGTACCTGCCGTTCCGTATGGCCGGTGTGGTCCAGTGTCACATAAAGGCCAATCCGCCTCTGCAATACGTGACCTGGACCAAAGACAAACGCCTACTAGAACCTTATCAGACGAAGGACATCGTTATCATGAACAATGGCTCCCTGCTGTTTACACGGGTCAATGAGAATCACCAAGGCAGATATACCTGCACGCCTTATAACGCCCACGGCACGCAGGGCAGTTCGGGTGTGATGGAGGTCCTCGTTCGGAACCCGCCAGTCTTCACTGTGGAGCCCGAGCCGGTGTACACGAAAAAGGTCGGCGAGACGGTCGAGATGCACTGCGAGGCTCAAGAGGCCGAGGGAACGCAGAAACCAACGATACAGTGGCATCGGGTATGATTAGTTTTCAAAAGAAATATCTCCATCCTCCTCCCCCCTCTCCCGCTTCGAATGCACTCATCATTTAATAAATTATATTTTGATTAATGTCGTTAAAATTAACCCTCCAGTGCCAGACATAAAATCATGACCTATTCACACTTCAAAATTTGAACTTCGCAAAGTTATTAAACGATACTGTCGAACGATTTCTACCGTTGTCTAAGGCCCTAAAGTTTTTTTTCACGGCTTTCAAATGTCGCGCTAAAGCAATATCTACTAGAGACACTGGTTTAAAACTTTTGGGTGGATCTTGGAGACCCATCTGGCACTAAAGGGTTGATTATGTTTGTTTAAAATTGTTTGTTAATTGTTTGCTAAACAAGAACATCGAGATATATTTATCACTCAAACAACTTTGTCCGTTAGGTTTACAATATGCTTATTTGCAATTCAATAAAATTTACATGTGTAACAATTATTCTCCGTTTATAATTTTATGTATACGAGAATAATACATAAATGATTTAATTATTTATAAAATATTCATATTTGCGACGTACACCGTTTCAATTGTAAAATCGTGTGTACTTTTACTTTTTTTTTTTTTTTTTTTTTTTTTTTTTTTTTTTTTTTTTTTTTTTTTTGTAGTGAAACACATCAAATTTCTCTTTTCTTTGAATAATTTTTAACAACTCGTTTTTGTGGCGATTTTTTGTAACAATAATCTCGAAATTATCATCTCAGAGGGATGGTGGCCCCATCCAACGTAGTCGCGCGAAGACCCTCGGGGGCAATCTGACGATAGAAAGCCTTCGGCGCGCGGACTTCGGCTTTTATCAGTGTGTTGCCAGCAACGAAGTCGCCACCATCTCATCCTCGACGCAACTGATCGTCGAGGGCACGCAACCCCATGCACCTTACAACGTGTCAGGCACAGCCACGCAATTCTCGGTAACGCTAACCTGGTTACCAGGCTATTCCGGCGGTCCTGATTACAAACAGGATTATACTATCTGGTGGGTATATACGGGATAGGTTGATAGGTATCACCACTTAAGGCTCCTTCTACGTTGCCAGTAATTGTGTCCGAACGAGAAACGATACCTAGCCTTTATCTCAAAAATAATCTCGCGCTATACGCTCTCTCTCTCTGTAGTTAGTAACGCAATATAAACTTGTCGTCTGTAAGATATTGGCGAAACTTTTTACATCAAAATTGCGCGTGTCAATTTTAAGTCAATTTAAATGAGAGAATGATCTTAGATGTTTGTTAAAACTAAATCTAAATTAACTTTTCCCGGACAGAGACATGAGTCTCCCAGATACGTTCAAAAATTGCGCATCGACGTCTCTAGTAAAAATTAATTTTTTTTTTTTTTTTTAACTTATATTTGCAAAACTACTAGAGATTTTTTCAATTTGTCTTTTTTTTATCGACGTAGAATCATCTAAACTTCCGATTCAAAAACCAAAATAGAAAAAAAAAATATTGATTTTTCGCGGAGATATTCGATTTTAAAGTCGCGCGGGTCTCACAGACCCAGTCTGTTCGACTAAGCGTCATTTTAAGTAAGTCTGTCCACGAAGGGTTAAATATGAAAAAACGGTAGTTTCGAACCAATATGAGGATGTTGTGCAAAACTTACCGGACTTCATAAATGTTGTACTAAAAAAAAAACCGATGTCAAGTTAAAGTTAAAATTGAGTGAGAAGTTAACACATTCTAAAAGTTGAGTCTCGAACTTAAATAAATTTCGTAAAAAAACTACTTACACGCGGCAAACACGTGTCAAACAAAGCTGTTAAAAAACGGAGTCTTGAAGATCTTGCCTCGAACGAATTCTTTCCCAAATCTTCTCCGTGAAGTCATTTTTGCAATTTGTTTTTCGTTAGGTATCGGGAATCAGGAACTTCGGATTGGAAGACAATCCCCGTGACCCCGTCGGGCAGCACAACGGTGACGATCGGCAGTCTCACGCCTAGCACGCTGTACGAGTTCCAGGTAATCGGAAAGAACGCTCTGGGCGAGGGAATGCTGAGCAAAGTCATCACAGTCAGGACGCTCGGTAATGGAAATTGCATTTATATCACGCTCCGATTACGTTTGATCATTAAAGTTTCTGATAAATTTCACGAGTAAAAGACAGACGCAACGAGCGCCCAACCTCGTTGGTCTCGGAAAGGATATTGACTTTGTTGTGGTAATTGAACAAGCTTTAACTGATCGCGTGTACCTGCTCTAGTCATTTGTCTAAATAATTCAAAGTGAATGAAATTGCCATAAATCTTGTTTATCAACCTTTAATCTGCGAAACACCGTACCTGCATAAATAACGATAGCTTAACGATCTGTTTGTCAGCTAAACTAATCTTTTCTGTCTTTTGTGTGTCTTCAACTTTCTTTCTGACTATATCTCCACTTCTATCGCCGCAATCTCTCCAAGCCGTTGCGCTGAGCCCTCCGGCGACTCACTCACCTGATCAACCCCCACCTCCGGATGAAAGTGGTAAGACATTCGAATTTTGACAATTTAGTGTTATTATTCACGTCGTATAATAACGCGCGCGAAAAGCGCGAGATCCGCGAAAATTCGAGACGCTTTATCGCGATCTGTTTTTATGTAAAACTACGTTTTTACGTCGTAAATTTCAACACGTAAAAAAAAAACGTCGAATGCAGCGTACGTCGCGAGCACACGTGGCGAAAGCAGTTTCCTCGCGGTGTTAAAACTGCCGGTTGGTTTTTTTTATCACTACTTTGTATCCGCAAGCCAGCGAAACGGCCGCGAAGAATATTTGAAAATTATATCCGCGCAAGACTCTCTCTCTCTCTCTCGCGCGAGAGAGAGAAAGAGAGAGAGAGAGAGAGTCTTCGCAAACTGCGAGTGGCATCTCGATGACTGTCGAAGGGAAATTCATGCGCGAGGACGTCGTTTCTCTGCGATCCTCCCGTTGTCGGTGGTATCGATCCGAGAGTCGAAAAGTCGCGCGACCTCCTCCTCGGAGTAGAGCCGCCCGAAGAAAAAAAGACGAAGGAAAAACCCAAAAAAAATAAAAAAAAATAAAAAAAAAAAGAGAAAAAGAAAAAACGTGAGAAGGAGGCAACAAGATAAGGGTGGGAAAGGGTGGCGAATGCGGATACAGAATGAGGCGAGGAGCGGAGAGAAAACCGAGAAAAAGAGACGGAGAAGGAACGGAGACTTCCGTGGCGACTTATCGTATCGGAAAACCCATCGAGCCGTTCATTCTGCTTCCGCTTTTATTTCCTTCCCTCGAATCCGCCGGTTCATTGCCTTCCATTTGTACACACCGTACCTCGAGCATCCCTGATACCGGCGTCTAGGGATTTCTATCTGGTTACCTTTCAAGCGTTTCTTCTGCCAGTTTCCACCACCACATCCCCGCTTACATGCCCTACCTTTTTCTCTCGCCGTAGCGCTCTTTCGCTTCTTACTCTTCTGCCCCACGCACACACAGGCTCGCATCATCATCGGTTTTGCTCGTTAGCCTCCGCGTCGACAAAGGGCCGGGGGTATTCAACAACGCTGGTTAACCACGGTTAACTAAATTCTCTCTTTCTCTGTACTCTCTTTATTCTTTAACAACAAAGTACGACCAAACTTGTTCGATACAACGGAATTTTAGTTCCAAGTGCCTTCTTAAGAATCGATACTCTTCCTTGCGCAATAATTGCTTTACGAAAACTAACTCGCGCATTTTCTAATTATTTTAAGAAGCGTATAGGTTTTTAATCGCATGTTTTTAATTGTATATATATATTTTTTTTAAACTTATCGTTTCTTAAATTTTGAACATTTAATAAAACCCAAATCTTATAAAAGCGGGGATTATAATTTTTAAAAACATCTGCTATTAATTTTCAAAAATTTATTAAAACAAAATTCGATTCCTTGGTTCGAAAAAATTTACTGCATGACATGTCAAATTTTTGTTTTGTATTTTTCTGTAGTTGATATCACGATTTAGAGAAAGCAAATCGTTTATTTCTTGTTACAGTTACTTGACGTGATTAGCAGAGAGAGAGGAATGTGTGCGCATGTGTGTGTGCGGATCTTACAAACATGTTAACAACTTTAGATTTCTTTTTTCTCATATCAAGAAAATTTTTTTTAATTAAGTACACGACACAGACGATTTAACCTTTCGTTTTTTTTTTTTTTTTTTTTAAATTTGATTCTGAATTTTGTTTAACTTCCAGGTTTGTTTCTTTTATTTTAATTTCAGACATTCTTGACTATAAAACTCTCGTATTACCGACTGATTCTACAGGAAATCCCGTTTATCCGATGATCGTACGACCAAAAGGTACATACGTTTTGCTTTCCGCTCTTTGTTGTTTAGATATTCTCTGTTTCTCTCTCTCTCTCTCTTTCTCTCTCTTTGTCTCTCTCAATATGTATATATATTTCCACAGAGTTGTAAAACTTCGTATCTCGACGTCTCGCGCGAGATCGAGACAGCGTGATAGGTATTACGAAACAGCTATCGTACGTTCGAAAGTGTTCATCGCCGCTTTCACACCGCCCACGTTTCGCGTTTTATTCATATACTCGGTGTATGTGCGCGCATATAATCACAGAGATCTTCCTCGTCGCACGTGTTTCTCATTAGAAATCCTCCGCACAAAGAGGAAGATCACGCGAAGAGCTCGGGGATCTTCTTTTTCTTTTCTCTCTTTCTCGCGGAAATCTCTTTTCGTTTCGCACACGCAAAGGGATTACGCGCTATTACGATCTACGGAAAATAAGTGTCACGAGGGGGGGAAAGGGAGAGGAAGAGACTCCCCGAACACAACAACACGGACAATGAGAACGAATGCGCGTGTTTGCGCACATTCTCGCGCGCGTACAATTCGGTTGCGGAATGACGCGAGAAAGATACAACGGGAAAAAGAAAAAGCAAAACAAAATCCTCTTAGCCGGCGCATAGGAGGCATTCCGTGAGAGAGAGCAGGAAATAACGTCATACATTTTGCGCGTAGCAGACGGTTCCAAACAATCTACTCCACGCGCATCGGAGCTGAATAAACCCAAGAAAGTTTTAGCCGCTTGTCGTTCTCCGCGCCGCGCGTCGAGTTTCAATCATGTCCGGATCGTTGGTTGGAAGAACGAAACCGTTGGTGACATATAAATCGGGGAAAAAGGATAAAATTTTGACGCGCGCGCACACTCACACACACACACTTGAAACGTTTTGTTTTTATTTTTTTTGTGTGCATAATTTACATTGTTGCAACAACAGTTTTAATATTCACCTTACGTGATGCGCGCGCACGAGCGCGTCGCATTTTTCAAATAGTTTTAAAAATATAATCCCCCGCTGTGTGTAAAAAAAAAAAAGAAAAAAACAAAAATAGCGGACGTTATATTCGCGATACAATATAAAAATCCTCTTCATAGTTCGATAGAGACGAGAGAAAGAGCGCTCGTAATGGGAGTTCGGGGAGACGGGGGAGGAGAGGGGAAAAAAAGAGAATAACACATTTCATAAAGTAAATATTCGAAACAATAGCGCGCCGCTAATTTCGCAATCTCGCGACTAAATCAAACTGCATATTTCCCAGCCATCTCCGATTTTCTCATACATTTGTGCGCGGCGAAAAACCATTACGACAAAAAAAAAAAAAAAAAAGAAAAAAAAAAAGAAAAAAAGAAAAATAAAAAAAGAATCGGTTTAACCGCCTGAAACGTAACGACGGAACATTTATTTCGCGTATCCGCATGGCGGGGTTTTTTTTTTCAAGCGCGAATAGCTTTGTCTTTGTGATTTTTCTCCTTTCACGTATATATATACATATATATATATATACATACGTCGATGCGTTCGCAAATCGATTCGCGCGCATACATGTATATACCACGTCCCATGAGAATTTCGAGAGTTTTTCTTTTGATCTGGAAAGCCTCGGTTCAATCTTGCCGCATTCACGGCATGTTGGTCAATTTGAATGACACTAAGAATGGCTTTTGCGATCAAATCGCCAATGCACGTGGTAAATCCAGAGAGCGCGGGCGCGGGCGCGCGGGGGGAACTTTGATAAACTCTCTCCGGTCCGGTGTTTTAAACGGGCGTAAAACCACTGTCGATTCGCGGGGCTTGCAGGTCGTTCCCGTCTGCTCCATCCCGTAACCAAGGAAATTTACCGGTCTGTCCGTTTACGTGTGTGTAATCAAACAAAGCAAACAATCGTGAAACAGTTTTCACGCTTGCCGATCGCGATATTCGCGGCCAACAACGATGCAATTTCCGTCAATTTCGTAAATTCCACCGGAGATATTTCCCCGGGAACAACGGCCATTAAACTGATACGGGTGGGAAACGTGGGATATTTGCTTTTCTCCCGGAGAATAAAACCCGCGGCGGCGCGCACCAGATTGGGCACCAGATCTCTGTGCGAATATGTGTGTGCGACGGAAAATTTCTATCCGCGAATCTAAATAAAGCATTCGCACGCGCGCGCAAATTATGTATCGAGCGAGTAGATATTTCCGCCCTCGCGCGTTTTAGCGAATATGCGTTTTAATTCGCGACGTGAGGAGGAGGTTGTGCCGGGGAGGAGAAAAAAATGATGCCAACGTGTTAATAAAGTTAACGCGCGTATTCCAATTAGGTCGGTAACACTATATGCATAAGAAGTGATGAAAGAAGCTGATCTCATGCTCGCGGTTAATCCAATTACCGAGTTGCGCCAATAGTCCGTTTTATGCGCCAACTACCTACCGCTAGGGGAGGCTCGAGTACCCAGTTGGATTTTATTCGAATTTGTTTTCGCGCACATATACATCATGTTCGTGTCTCGGAATAATGTGCGACGACATTGCACGCGCGCGCACCAACAACGGCGCATTATTTTTTTTTTTTGAAAAGTTTGAAGAACATAAATCTTAATTTATGGGAACATCCGTCGTCTCATTATATTCGCGAACGTAACGCGCGAAGTTAACGAATATTTAAAATAATTTCCCGCGTTGTGTGTGACACGTAAACGTAGTTACGTTTCGTAACAATCCGTTACATTTGTATAACGCCGCGTAACAACGGCGCGTTTTTTGCGTGTATCAACCGACGCAAGATCCTTTCTCTCTCTCTCTCTCTCTCTCTTTCTCTCTTTTTTTTTTTTTTTAATTTCGTTTCGTAAGCGACATGTCGCGGTTCCAGATATGCGATGATGAAAAAAAGTCAGACGTACAACTCGATGGCGCGAATACCGATGGATTTGATAGATGCGAAACTGTCGCTGCGGTCGGAGCCCCCGTTAACGTTTCCATCAAAAAAGCTTTCCGCTGGCGTTGCAACTCGGCGGTGTGCGTCGCTGAAATTATTTCGGAGTTACGACAGCAACATTTATTTGCTGACGCCGCGAGGAGATTTTCCTCTCGTCGAGTTGTTTTTTCTTTTTTTTTTTTTCTTTTTTTTTGTTTCACTTCGCGTGTAACGACACACGCACCGGACGTTATCTATTCCATCGTTAGAAAACCTTATTTGTCAATCGCGCGAAATAAGAAAAACAAGTAAAATCAAAACAAAAAATAGTATAGATTGATGCTTTCGCGACACGCAAGAATTTCCGAAGATGTGGTTTTCGGGTGGTTTGAATCGTAGACTGTGCTCTTGAAACATAAAAGTGAACTGAAATGTCGACGAAACGTCGGTTAAAAATCGACGGTTAAAAACGCGACGGTCGAAACCCCGAAAAATCCTCTTCAAGAATATTTTACGCTATTGCACGCGTGTTTACGCAATTATTTTATTTTTTAATCGGCGCGCGATTTGTAAACCCCGTCAGGACCAAAGCCAGGACCTCCCCGAAACCTGACGGTGACGGAAGTCAGCAACGGTTTCCTGATAACCTGGCAACCTCCTGTGGATCGTAGCCATCTTATCCAATTCTACACTATCAAGTACAAGACGGACGGACCTTGGAAAACGCTCAACAAGGGCCAAATACGACCCGAAGAGACCAGTTATTTAGGTGAGACACGCGAATTGTTTCTCGTGTACGATGGTTAACTTTTATATTTCTCGAAACAAAGTTTCTCATTAGCATTCGTGGAATGAGAGAAACACAGACGTTCTCTCGGCAACCGAGCGAGCGTAATTCCGAGCGTATTCATAACAATACCGTGCCGTAATTAATTTAATCTGAAATGAGAGATTCGCAGTGTGGTTGGTCATGCGATTTTCCGATTCTTTGACTTCTGTGAATATTCACAGTGAAGAACCTGGTCGGTGGTAGGACCTACTATTTCCAAGTGTTCGCCAACGCGGCTACGAATTACGGTGTGAGCGACCAGGTGAAGTTTCCCGTGCCGGCTCGCGTCAAGCACAAAGCGATCACCGCGGGCGTTGTGGGCGGCATCCTCTTCTTTCTCGTCGCCATCATTCTCAGTATATGCGCGGTGAAGATATGCAACAAGCGGAAAAGACGAAAACAGGAGAAAGGTATGGGCGCGCCCCGTGGCGTTGTCGTCGTGTGTTATCGCAACACCAGTTTTTGCCCGCAATGTGCTCGCACCTGTGCTTCTGGTTGTGTCGTCTCTCCCTTCAAGTTAAACTCCGGTTCTTCGGGATGAGATTCGCTTCGGGAAAAGAACGCGAGCAAGAACGAGTTAGAAGACGTTTAATTACCGAGATGTAATTAAGCGTCGTCTCGCGTTTGTTTTGCTCGAAACGCGCAATTCTAATCTGTTCGACTTGTTGTCCATCCTCGGGTTGGGATTCGCGCGCTGTTTTTTTTTTTTTTTCGAAACGAAGAGATGAATTCGCAAACAAATCGCAAAGATGACTGATAATTATTAATTGGTCCGTCCTGAGTCCGCTTCTCGTTTCTTTAACCTTTAACCTAAACAACCTTCGCGCATTAACTTGTTATGCATTTTTTAACGCCCCAGGACTGGCCAATGAGACGGCGACGATCCGACAACGCAGGCGCCGAGCGTGTGCACCTGTGAACGCATATTGGTCATTAACATAGTTATGTAACATTGTAGAACTGCTTTCAGCGTATAACATGGTGGCCTGCCGGGTCACCGACGCCAGGAACGGCGCAGGGCAGGGGCCCCAGGGAACAGTGCCTTTGAAAAAGTGAGTGTCTACTTACGCCATTTATCTCCTCAAGTCCCAAAGAATCTTAAATCACGATTTATATACTTAGGAGCACCACTGAAGGCTCCGATCTGAACAACGAGTAGACCGAGGGGGTCGTAGCTGCACTATAAATAATGTAAATCTTTCACAATTAATGCCTCTTACCGTTTGCGTAATTAAACGTAAAACAAACATCCAATTTTGCGCTTGACTGTTTTGAAATATTTCCGCAGTTTTGAAAATATTCAAAATATATAAATATTCAAAAAAAAAAAAAAAAAAAAAAACATTCTTCAACTAACAATACAATTTGACACGCGATCTAACAAAATTTGATCGATAAACTTCTGACAATACATGATTGATAAAACGATCTCGAAATATTCTGACGACGTTTTTTACGATATAGTTCGGTCGCGATCTTCTGAAGAGAGATAGCCTCTGAAAGTGTTTGACAAGAGAATCAGATCAGTGAAAGAAAAAAAAATCATGCATTGTCGAAGATCGATGATTGCGTCACGAAGTGCAGATGCGACTTCAAAAGAAATTTATATACATCACTTAGGCTTAGCCAGAGTTAGCGATTAAGTCCACTCCACCCCCTTTTTACGAGCAATAGGCGACCGAAGCACCGCAAGCATTTACGAAACCTCTCACGAATATCATCCAGCTATAACAGAATATTCTTCGAACACTTGATATATATTTACATGTGATATATACATTAATTAATTTAATTAAATTTTTTATCACTCTCCAGATAAGTATTGAAAGAAAAATTACTAATATACATATATAGTACATATATGCATCGTATCGCTCTTACGACTCTTTTTGCAGCTGTAATTTCAAAATGGTGATGACGTCATCTCTTAATTGTTTTTGTTTAAACGCTGTACAATTAATAACATTCGGCCGTAATCGCAAATATCTAATATAGTTCCGCGATAAAAACTAATCGGCAATAACAGTAACGTGACGTTATTGTCGCGCCAGCGACACGAAGAGACAGACTTTGTGCTCAGAGAGACGTACGGGAGAGAAATTCGTTATCTCTCCCGCCGTCAGCTCGATCCCATTTTGTCTAAGGACACAAGCGCCATCCCCCCTCCCCTTTTCCCCCGAAAATAGGGGAATTAAAGGAAACGCGGAACGACAGCACCTCTTTTGATCTACTTGCGCCATACATATAACACTACGAGCTTTCTAGATAGTAGCATTAAAAAAAAAAAAAAAAAAAAACCGGCAGACTAAACCGCAGCAGCAGAGGTATTTTGGACAAAGGTTTGGACGAGAAGAGAAAAGAAATCCTTTCGTTTATGAGATCGCGATAATTAATTTATCTCACGCACACTTCCATGCGCGGCACGTATCATGCGATGCGCGCGTGCGTGCGTGCATGCGTGCACGTTTCCGTTAAACATGAACGAACAAAAACGGGTTCACTGTGTTGTAGCGTCATTCGGCCACCGAAAATCGAATCGGATCTCGTTCTACGGAGCTCGAATCAAATGGCACGCGATGATTTGCTCGGCGGCAGAATAGTTCTGCGTGCGTGCGTGCGTGCGTGCGTGAGTTGCGCGCACGCGTAACAACCAATTCGTTTTCTGCATCAAAACTCGTTCTCGTTCTTTTTTTTTTTTTTTTGTTTTGTTTTTTACATAGCAATGCGGACATACGCGCAAAGGTAACAAAAGAAAACATCGCGTGTGTAAGAGACGGCAGCGGTTTTCGGCAATTAAACCAACCGAATTGAATAGCGGCTTGAAACTACATTCATTCACATAAAAAAAAAAAAAACAATTTAAAAAACAAAAAACAAACGGAAAAAGAATTTGCGAAACGATCGAAATTAAGTTTTTAATATTTATCAAATTCATAAAGAAAAATGTTTTATCGCGAAACCGCGTGATTCGATTCCGCGTGAAAAAAAAAAAAAAAAAAAAAAAAAAAAAAAAAAAAAAAAAAAAACGAATTCCCAGCTTGATTCAGATCCGGCGCAATCGCGATTCGAGCAACATACATAGCGGAGCACCGAGCATTCACACCGAGAGAGAGAGCTATCGCAAAACGAGAAAAACGAGAATCGAAACACAAGCGCGCGCGCGCGCGTCCGTGATCGTGTCACGCGCGTGTTGTGTGTAAGATGATATCTCTCGCGTTGTGCGTACATGTAACGAAAAAAAAAAAAAGAGAAGAAAAAAAAACGGAAATCTAAACGCGCGGAGCGTTCAGCTTAATTGCGATTTCACGCCAAGCGGACTGCACGTGCATAGTTGCGGATGTGACTCAGTTTTATGACCATTATGATTTCCATCGCGGCATCCAAAAGTCCACAATACGACTGCAGTGATGCCTATTCTGGATCTCTCGTATATTTCGCCTTTTAATTTTTTCTCCCGCGCGAGACTATTTTCCCGTGCGTCCGTGTTTTTTTTTTTTTGTTTGTTTTTTTACGTGTATATATATATATATATATATATATATATATATATACACACACGCGCGCGTTTCCTTCGGTGACCCCCGAACACACGCGCGCCGACTTTCTCGATTTCATTCGATCCCGAATCTCTCATGTTCATTGTCATGTTTTTTTATCAGTCGCTGCACTATTATACCAGTTCGGTCTTGCACTCGTTTTCCAAGTCTCGTGGCGTTTGTCGTGGCGCTTATCGTGAGGGTGGTACCTAGAAATCCCATTTTTTCCTTTATGCAAAACTCCTCTTCTTCGCAAAATCATTCTCTCGCGTTGCACGCAGCCAAACTTGCGCGTCACACTCGTTACTTCTTCATGGCATATACAAACCTCCGTACACGCCGATCGAACGTATACACGTTTTGTAATTCACGTTTTGCCGCAGGTTCGAAGCTGGTCGCAAAGACGTTCCAAAAAAAATAAATCGCAATCGTGTAATTATGAATCTCGCAAATAACATTTCCAAAAAAATTAAAAAAATTAAAAAAAAAAAAAAAACGCTGTGTTCCAAACTGTGACATCTTGTGACCTTGCGACTCAAGCATGCGCTTTTGTTACTTATCGCTATCTTTCTTTTCTCTGTCTCTCTCTCTCTTTTTTTTATCGCAATCACAACACATTAGCTGTGTGTGTGTTTTTTTTTTTTTAGATCTCAGTGTCTTTGTGAAAACTGATACTGTTGCGGATATTGCCTTGCGTGTGTGACACACAGCTCCATTGTATCCGACGAGTAACTCTCTCTCCCAAGTAGATATCTCTCCTCCGCCGTCATCTTCCGCTGTCATCACCCTCATGATAAGCTCAAGCATCCGTCGCAATTTTTCATTGGACAACGAAGAGCGCGGTCGCGTTTCTCGAGAATTATCCCGAGAGAGATCGATATTGCACGTTTTATATACCTACACGTACATATATATATATATATGTATATATATATATGTATATATATCCAGAACGGGCTGGACGGTTCAGCCACTGCCAAGAGCTTTTTTGCCTCTCGCATTCGTGGTCACGTGTCTCGGCTGTGTGCCGAGTGGAAGCAACGATTGCAATTTCCTAATGCCCCTCCCCGACGCGAGCGTCGGACACGAAACATTACACTAATTCGCCCCCCCCCCTCCGGAATGACGGTGTGTTCTCTCGTTTGATCACGAAAAACTTTAACGATGTTGAAAGAAGTAAAACAACAAAGAAAAAAACAAACAAACAAATTGAGAATCAACGTGATATATAAATTTTTCTCTTCGTACGAGTTACACGCGGTATTTCTCGGTTTTCTTTTTCCAACGACAATTGCGGTCGCGTGCTCACACATTGGCGCGCTCTCACACACTCGCCGCCTCCAAACGTCGAGACATCGACCACGAATACGGAACTTGTACAAAATAATCTCGGGCGACAAGCAACCGAGATCGCGATCAGAGCAAGGATCAGAAGAGAGCCGATGCGAGCCGGAGAATAGCGTTAAGGGTCGAGAGACTCCGGAGAGAAAGAGAGCGCAGGGGTGCTACCGCGCGATATATATTTGCCGATCAAAGGGCAGAAAAGAAGGGAGAATTCGAAAGAAGAGGAACCGTTAGAGGAAGACTATACAGAGTCAATCGATCGTTGCATCGTCAAAGAGAAGAGATTGTTTTTTTTCTTCTCTTTCTCTCTCTTTTTCTCTCTATCTCTCGTTGCTGCCTTTCGCTCTCTGTGTCTCCGACCCTGAAACAATTCTCGCGCAAAGCGGCAACCGCGAGGACATGAAAGTCGAGTCGAGTCAAGACGGCTCGGATCGCGACAAAGAGAAACAACAAAGAAAAAAGGAACAAAAAAAAAACAAACTATTAAAAAAAAAAAAAAAAAAAAAAAAAAAAAAAAAAAAAAAAAAAAGAAAGAAAGAAAAGAATCAACAAAGACAAGATAAGAAAAATCGTGTGGGCGTCTCTTGTCCTCCTCTCTCTCTGT